CTAGAGCCAGAGAGGAAATGAAGTGTGATTTCAGCCCACAAGTTTACAAGGGCCTCTCCTGAGCAGGACAGGCTGAAATTGATCTTGAAGGATAAAATGGCTCAACAGGCAGGATCCAGCCACACCCTCCCTAACTAACCATAGGGATATAGGCATTCCCATTCCAGAGTGCTGGGGGGGGGGGACTTTTGCTTTTCTTTGGAAGTTTTACTTCATTTTTGTTTGTTATCAGACAGGGTCTCACGTAGCCCAGGTTGGCCCTGAACTCATTATCCTTACTTCCAGAGAGCTGAGAGTATAGCTGGGAACCACCTCTCACTGTGACCCAGCGTTCCCGGAGACCACATGTGACGCACACCAATATGTATACGCTAGGCTGTGGGTAAGAGTCCAAGTGTGAGGCTGAGAAAAGGAAAGCTGAGTGGTGGGCTTGGAGCACAAACCAGGGAACGCTGCAGAGCCCCGCTCCCTTATCCAAAGGCTATCCTGACACCTCTCCCCCGATTCCTGCATCCCAGAGTCACCCTATCTTTCCCTTGTGTGCCAGCTCAGTAGGTGAAAGGTATTCTCAGCTTCTAGAAGGAAACAGATGTGCTTACTGCTTATATTCTGTTATGTAATCAGCTCCCAGTGGGCAGGCTCCAGGCATCTTCTCCAGCAACCCTGCACTCAGTTCAGTGCTGACTCACAAATAGGAACGCTCACATTTGAGTCATGAGGAAGGGAAACTAAGGAACCAGACTCCAAATGGCCAGGGCACCAGAGAGGCAGGGGCAGCATTGAGAAGCAGGTCATTCAAAGTCTCTGCTCCATAGTGCCTCCCTCAAAAGTACCAACTGTCACGAGGGCAAAGCCACACACATTCCAACACACAGTCAGACCCCCATACATACAAGGCATACTTAACACACAACAAATATACAACGACCACACATTTCACATACACCCAACACACATACACATGCCATACACTGACCCCTACATAATCTACATGTCCATAATCTACACCTACCTATTCACAGTCTCACCTCATAGATACCAGTCCCCTTTGATATATACACTCACAAATACACACTCCACATACACACCTACCCCAAACCACATATATACCACACCCTTCCATATATATACCTACTCACACACATACTACACACACACACACACACACATACACATACACACACACACACATACACACACATATATACATATATGTTTTCCCATTCTACATACACCACGTATACACATTCCATAAATATACAAATACACACGATAGATAGATAGATAGATAGATAGATAGATAGATAGATAGATAGATAGATAGATAGAGATATGCCCTCTCCACATATACACCACACACAGACACACACAGACACACCCCATATGTATCAGCTTCCCCAACACACACACACCCACTTCCCCTTTCCTTTGTGTCTCCAATCCTAGTGGATTTTGAGCTTCTGTCATTGGTGCTTAAAGACTCCAGAAGAGACAGAACAGAACTAAATCTATCACAGTAAGTCCCAGCTCTACAAAACAGGAGAATCCACATTCCAGCCCTGGCCGTGACTTAGCACCCTGGGGTTTATGTAGTCAGCATTCCGCTACATCTTGACAATGTTCTAATGAAACAGAACACAGGCACTTTTATTAGTGGGGCGGGCAGGAGGCAGAAGCTAAACACTAAGCTCTCTCCAGATAGTCCTGCCATGAAACAGTGGGTTCCTGTGTGCTGGAGTTTATATGTAGTTCTCAAAAAGCCCTTGGCTATTTAGTTTCTAATAAGAAAAATATGCACCGTGTCACACTAAGTCACTTTATGGACAAGTATCACCAGACTGGCTTTGACAGTGCACACATGCAAGGTGCTGTCTGGGTCCATGGCAGTACAGTAGGAGTCCACCACATGAGACCTTCTGACCTTGGGAAAACAGCAAGGAAGAGGCGCTGTAGCCTCCAAGTCTGCAGCCCTCGGCTGCAGGGCTCCTGCCTGGTCCCCAGTGTACACTCAGGGCAGCCCACCTCCCCAGCATCCAGGGCTGTGTATTTGCAAACTCTCCTCCAGTTTAGAGGTTGCTAGTTCTTTTCTATCTCATGGGATTGGGAATCCCAATACCAATCGCTAATACCAATGGATTTCAACACATCTATTTCACTTAAAAAAAAAAAATGTGTTCAAATAATACATACCTACTAAAGGAAAAGAACCCATGTTGGGGAGCTAGCTCAGGCCATACAACTTTTACTATGCAAGTGTGAGGACCCAAGCCCTGCCCCCAGCACCGATAAAAAGCTGAACACGGTGGCATGTGGGCATGTGCTGTCATCTCCAGGCTAGTGAAACAGAGATGGAAGGATCCCCTGAGGCTCACAATCCATCTAGCCTAGCTAACTTAACAGGCAAGTGCCAGGTCTCAAAGAGCTGTCTCACAAAGCAAGGTGGATGATCACCCTGAGGAAGACCAGAGGTGGACTCCGGCCTCTACACATGTACCCAAGTCCATTCTTACCTGCACACATGGACACACACAGAGAAGGAACACACGTTCTTTATCATGTCTCTGTGAATTTCACATATTCTCTATGATCACTAGGACGGACAGCACTGGGGCAGTTTCCCTTGCATGTGTGTTTTCCCTATGTCTCCAAAGTTCTTCAGGTTACAGGAGTAGTTACTAAATAAATGGCTGGCAGAGAATCATTTTTTAAAATATTAACCACAGGTGGCAATTTGTTTTAAGAGAGTTTTCTTCTGAATGGAATTCCTAGTCCATTTTTAAAGACTCCCTTTGTCTGGTACTCTGCAGACTGACCAGCTGGGCTCAGTAGCTCTGTTTCTTCTCAGCTCTTTGTGACCGGCTACTTCACACACTGAGGAGGGCCTGGGTTCTCAGAAGCATAACTCTATTTCGTCATTTCCTCCCCTCGCTGTGCAGTGGGGGATGGCGCAAAAACTCTGACTCTCCATGTTCTTATAGGACTGTGAGCTGAGTGAGCCTGAAACAAGGGCCCCATTTCAGTCTCAAAGTCATCAAATGCTTCATGAAGGGTGACCATTGTGTGACGGAATGTGGCCTGAGGTAACCTCCACCCCTCCCCATCCTGTGGTAGCACAGGGCTGTGGAAAGTGCACCTGACATTTAGTGATTTGTTAAAAAACACCAAGAGACCCACAAATACCAAGCAAGTGCTCTCCCAGAAGGTAAGTTTAGAGGTGTTTTATTTAATAAAATCCCAACACTCCGGAGGCTGAGGCAGGAGGACTGCTAGGAGTTCAAGGCCAGCTACATCAAGAGTTCCAGAAAGTGAGGTACAGAATGAGGTCTCATCTCAAGAAAGAAAAGGCAAGGCTCCACTCTAGCTAGCAGAGAAGGAAGGAGCAGGTAAGGAAATGCAGGGACTGCTTTTAAGCCAGTTTAGCCAGACAGAGCATGAGACAGCGGTTGGCTCATACTTATACACGTGCTAGGGCAACAGAAGGCTAAAGCCAAATCAGAGAGTCCAGGAAAAGAAAGCTGCTCTTCTTCCAGAACCAATCCTTCCTAAGTAACTAACGTGTGCTGGTGCTCATCAGAGGGAGGCAGGGCTTCACTCCTACCATTCACCAGAGTGCCCAGGGTGGACCTAAACAGAGCTGCCTAAGACCAGGAGGAATTTCCTATTCGCCCGTTTAGAACACTATACCAGAATTGCACGTCGGTGTCACCAAGAGATGCAGCTTCACAACATGGCCACGCCAGGCATTTTGATTAAATTATTTTACTTATTGGGGGTGGAGGGGTTGCATTTTGAGCACCACAGCAAGACTGTTATTTCTAACCAGTTGGTAGACCCAGTGACGTGACCAGAGTGCTCAGAGAGGGCCTGCAGACTGCCAGTGAAGTCACGAGCTGTCAGGCGGAATGTACTGGGGTCCCACAGTGCTTGTGCCACAAGTCGATGGCCTTGCTCACGATGGCATCTGAGCTGTCCTGGGGGATCTGTGACGAACAAAGGAGTCCAAGTGAAATCTCTGTTACTGCAGGATCTCCCCTCATTTTCTGTGGCAGACCCATTTCCATGGGAGCTCTCTCTGGTTTTAGACGGTGATAGTAGAGGCGGTATTATCTAATGCACCTGGGGACACACTGAGTAGCTCTGGTGCCAGACAATCTTCGTTGCCACTCACCACTTAGCTCTAGACAAGTACTCAGCTGCCTAGGTTCAGCATTGACATCTAAACAGGGGAACAACATCCCAGATTCCCAGAGCTGTTCACAGGATGACAGAAGATAGCTGTTAAGGCTGGCACTGTTGGCCACTAATTAGTATAATAATGGTGATTCACTTAAAATGAACACACACACTCACGTAGCTCTGACTACTGACCAGACCGTACTTCACATGTTAAAGCAGACTAATTACAAAGGGGGTGGGTGGGATTCAGAGTCGGCTCCATGATGTACTCTATGCAGGCACAGCCTCCTTACTGTTTACCCAGGAGAGAATGTTCTAAGAGGAAGAAGCTGATCCACTGTCCTTTTTTAGCAAGCACTAACATGATACTTAGGCACATTAACCGACCCAGCTGGGATTACACCAGAGGAGTTAAAGGCAAGGAAAGCCTAGGGACCCCCCACCTGTGCTGTTCCCATGGCTTCTAGTTCCTGGTTTGCTCACTGGAAGTGAGACTCCGCTGCCAGGAGGCACGCTTGAGCAAGGGGCTTGCATGCAGACCAACATCCCCAAAAGAGAAGAGGGGGACACCAATACTGTTAAGGAAAAATAACTATTTCTCCTTGCCAGGAGTGGGGTGCTTGACTATAATCCTAGCACTCAGGAGGCTGAGGCAGGAGAATTACCAAAAACTGGAGGCCAGCATGGGGTATAGAGAGTTCCAGGCCAGCACAGGTCACCAGTTCAAACCACCACTAACAAAACCCTTTAGCAGAGTAAAAGATAAACTATTTTATTTCTATGAAATAATAAAACACAATAGGAAAATCCTGTTTGCCAGGCTGCCTTCATTTCCAGATTCCAACCCCAAGGAGAAAAAGCACTCACATTTTCCAGGAACTTTGTTATCTTCTCTGCTCTGTTCAATGCCATGACCTTTATTTTAAAGGTTAATAATATCTCTACGGCTACAAACACTAGTATCTTACAGGATCCACTTATGACTTTATCCCAGACCCTACAAAATGGAGAGATCACCAAATTAGAGGGTTGCAGAACTGATGTTACCCAGACATCTCAGATTATGAATTAAAATCAAATTACACTCATTTTAAGTCCATGCTTCAGAGAACAACTGTGAAATAATCAGTATCAACCACATGATAGACGAGCCACTGAGCAAATTCTAGAAAGAAGAGCTTTAGAAGGGAAAAAGGGCTCGCTTAAGGTTATTACTGCTCTGTAGTGCTTCAAATGCCTGCTAGGAACTGAAAAGAAGAAAGTCTTCAACCAGAGTGGACCCTGCTGCTGTCATGGAATGCCAGATGACTACTGCACACCACGGGACAACAAAGCAGCAAATGAAATTTCAGGCGAGGTAATTTCATTGGCAGTGAGTCTGGAACAGGTTCTCTAAACGTCTCCCAGGGCTCTTTATGCACATATATGTACACATGCCTGTGTACAGGTGCACATGAACATACGTGTAAATGTGTGAAGGCTGAGGTTGATGGAGGATGGCTTCGTCTACTGTATTCCACTTTACTTTTCAAGATAAGAGTCTCTGAGTTCACCAGTTCAGCTCAGGCTCACCAGTCGCCTGGACTGGCTGTCTAGTTAGCTGCAGGGACCTGCCTGTGTCCACAAACACCCCTGCCAGTGCTAGGTTTACAGACACACACCATCACACCTGGCCTCTTACATGGGTGCTGGGATCCAAACTCAGGTCACCATGTTTAGACACTGAGTAACTGTACCTGCTGAGCCACCTCCAGGACCCAGGAACTGGTTCTTGACCAACTATTACTCTAAAATAGTTTGATGATTCCTGTAACTGTTGAAATTGGTAGTAGAATCTTTATGCTAAGTTACACATATGCCTCTAATGCTTTGTGCTGACTTCTTTTCTTCAAACAACATGACAAAGACCTGGAGTTGTGGGGCTGAGACTGAGAAACACCCTTAACCCAGTGGTTCTCAGCCTTCCTAACGCCGGGAGCCTTTAATTCACTTCCTCATGCTTGGTGACTCACAACCATAACGTCATCTTTATCGCTGCTTCACAACTGAAATTTTCTGTTGTTATGAACGTAATGTAAATATCTGTGTTTTCTAATGGTCTCTGGTGACCCCTATGAAAGAGTCATTTGATCCCAAATGTTGAGAACCACTGCCCTAACATGGGTCTCAAAGTGACTGGAGAAGCAAAGCTTGTCTCTGACAGCCTTTAGCTCTCTTGAGGATGTCATGAAACACCTAAGAAAGACAAAGGTGTCTGGTCTGCCGGGATCCGCCACCTGTCTGGAAAAGAAGCACTCCGGCTGCTGGACAGCGTCAGCTACGACTGCCTCGTGGCATCCACATAGAGGCCCACCCACGGTCTTCCCAGGCACGTACTCAACAATAAGGAGAACCACGTTACAGTTACAGAAACTGCTAGGGAAGGTAACTTTGAATCACCTTCTTGTTCTGGAGCAAACTTAAGTTCTGAGGGATGATCACCTAAGGGCCAGGATCTCTTTCTGACTCCAAGCTCCCGGTGTGCAGTGGGGGAAACACGTACCTCTGTAAACTGGACTCTGGTAGGCATCCCGCGAAGCACCTTTTGAACCAGAGATCATAGGGAAGTTTGGATACTGCAGAACACGTCTTCAGGTGACTCAGCAGCCTACTGTCTTCCAGATTCAAGTACTGTTCGAAAGCCTTGGGCTAAAGATGACACAGCAAGAGTGGTTACTCATCTCCTGTGACATAATGTCATTTCATGCTGCAACCTATGATGAGAACGTGTACATACTGAGTGAGAGAAAGTGCTAGAAAACGTGAGAACCATCACGTCAGTCCTAACCCACGCTTCTGGTCAGTACGGACAAGGGTGACCATACTGGAACTGAGTGCTTCCTTGGGACAAAGGACTCTGTGCTCAACCCACAGGACAGTAACCAAGCAAAATGGAATGGCAGTCACCTGATACTGCACAAACCAGAACCAACAGCTACAGCAGAGTCCAAAGCAAGAGTCAGTTATTACAGACAGCTACAAAAGGCCCATGGCAATGCTGAGTGATCTGGAGCAGCCAATCACATAACGAGATGAAAAGGGAAAGCCACAAGCCTCTTATCTCAGCATTCAACATACTGAGGTACAACAGTGGTGTCTGAGGTCAGCCTGGGCTACATAGGGGATCCTGTCTCAAGAAGCCAAAAGGATGGGCTAAAGAAACTGCCCCTCTGAGGTTAAGAGCACTTGTCACACAATCATGGGGACTGGAGTTCAGATCCCAGCGCCCATGTAACCAGCTTGGCATCCTGCATTCCAGTAACTCCCAGAGATGGGAGGACCTCAGGGGCTTGCTGGCTTCCAGCCTAGACAAGAAAACACAAGTCCAAGTCCAGGGAGAAAGGCCATGTCAAGGGAATAGGTAGAAAAAAATAGAGGACACCCAACACCCTCTAGTGGCCTACACACACACACACGTACACACACACATGAACATACACTGACTATACTATTCTGCACACCCCCCAGTGCCAAGGAGGCTGAGACATAAGGGAGGACCAGAGGCACAAACTCTGCACCCATCATCAGTATGGGTGGGAGTGCCTTGGAAGGCGGAAGCAGCTGCACCCAGACCCAGCAGCAGGGCTGTCCAGTACCATCTCTCTTCTAAGACAAGTATAAGTGGAGGTGCAGCCACACTGGCTGGCATCAGCAATACGGCATGGAGGTGGCACCTCCTCTCAGATGCACCCTCTTAGTTACTTAAGGAAGGGCACTTTTTCATTGGGTTAGCCAGTTTTGTTTTTTAGCTTGGTGGCAGCAGCCTTTACCCACTGAGCTCTCTACCTGCTCTCTGTCTTTCTATGTCTCTCTCTGTCTGTGTCTGTGTTCTCTGTCTCTCTCTATCTCTCTCTCCATCTCTCTCTGTCTCTCTCTCTGTGTCTCTCTGTCTCTCTGTCTCTCTCTCTCTGACTCTCTGTGTGTGTGTGTGTGTGTGTGTGTATATTTGCCATCATATATCTCTGTGCACCATGTGTGTGTCTGGTACCCACAAAAACCATAAGAGGGTATCAGAGTCCCTGGAACTGAACTTATAGATGATTGTGGGCTGTCATCTGGGTGCTGGGGATCAAATGTAGGTCTTCTGCAAGAGCAACAAGTGCTCTTAATCACTGAGCCATCTCTCCAGTTCTGCCCCAAATTCTAAATGAAGAAAATAAAACTAGCCTCTGTGCTTCCTGGCAGTGAGAGACACTGTCACATGGTTGAACTCTGAAAAGTCTGAAAAACGCTATGATGTGGTCCCAGGAAGTAGCACACTACAGCACAGCGCTCACAGTAGGTCAGCTACCATAAGGAAGCAGCACACTACAGCACAGCGCTCACAGTAGGTCAGCTACCATAAGGAAGCAGCACACTACAGCACAGCGCTCACAGTAGGTCAGCTACCATAAGGAAGCAGCACACTACAGCACAGCGCTCAGTCGGCTGGGAGCACTGCATCTTCTCTCACGCTTTAATTTTTAATTATTTATTTAATTTTTTAAGATTTACTTATGTTTTAAAAGATTTATTTATTTATTTATTTATTTATTTAATTTATTTATTGTATGATTGAGTACACACTGTAGCTGTCTTCAGACACACCAGAAGAGGGCACCGAATCTCATTACAGACGGTTGTGAGCTACCATGTGGTTGCTGGGAACTGAACTTAGGCCTTCTAGAAAAGCAGTCAGTGCTCTTAACTGTGGAGCCATCTCTCCAGCCCTGAGATTTACTTATTTTATTTTATGTGTGTGAGTGTTTTGCCTGCACACATGTCAAAAGTGGACATCAGATTCCCTGCATCTCTAAAGCAGCAGCCTATGCTTGGTGGGAACAGACTGCAAAGGAAAGTCACAAAAGTATAAAAAAAAATGTCAGACCAAGGTTATAAAAACTTGGCTGTAACAAGAACCAGGGTTGTTTGCTTTGTGGTGGAGGCTGAAGCAAGAAGATCACAAGTTCAAAGCCAGCCTGGGCAACTTAACAGGACTTCCCCCCTCCCCCTTCCTGCTCTCAACAAACAAAAAGAAAGGGCTAGAACACTGCTCAGAAGTAGAGCTCTTGTCTAAGATGTGTGAAGCCCAAGATTGGGGGTGGAGGGTGGGGGGAGAGGTGAACCAGTAAATAGACCTGTAAGTCTTAATCCTACCAGTAGTGAGCAACAGGACCGGGAGTTAGAGCAGCCATTGTATCGCCTTCAGCAAGGGATTTAACTTCTCTGAGGTGCAGTGCCCTCAGCTGCACAAACACGGAGCTATGAGCTTAAACTCACTAACAAGTCAGACTGTGTGAAATGCACGATGGTCCTGACACGCTAAGCTAGATGAGGAGGAGAGCTGGCTGCTAGGAGAAGCCATGTGTTACAGACACATGCTGAGGTATGAAATCCACCATGTCTGACACCAGTCAGAGAGAAGGTAGACAAGTCAGAGCTAAGCTTAAATGGTTAGAGCATTTGAAAAGGTCAAGGGGAAAAATATGGTGAAGGGATGGGTTTTCTCTCTCAGATAGGGATGCATACAGCCCAGGCAGGCTGTGTATTCCTGATCCTCTGCCTCAGTCTCCAGAGTGCTGGGATTTGGGGATTATGTCACAACGTGTAACTAAAGAAATATGTTTTACCAGTTGTGGAGTTGGTAAGGGATACAGAAAACGTAAGCATGAAAAAAGACAACACTGACAGACCTCACGTATGAAGCTTACAATCTTAAAACAACAAACAGGAATATTACTACACTAAGGATAATATGCAGAATACTTGCTGACTCTTAAATACAAAGAAAAAGTCAGGGATGGCAGAGAATGCTGGGAGTATCACCCTCATCTGCATAGCAAGTTCAAGGCTAGCCTGGGCTACATGTAACCCTGCCTCATACACAGACACAGACACAGACACAGACACACACACACACACACACACACACACACACACACACACACAAGCAAGCAAAGAAAACAATAGAGATCTTCAAAGCACACTAACTTCTCTGGCCCTCAGAGTTGTCAGACAGAATGAGAGGGTGTGGTCACTGCCTGAGGACAAGACCGGGAGCCTAACACCTGAGCAGCAGAGTGGAAAGCCGGCAAGCTCAGGGCCTGCTTGCCAAGTGAAAATATAAATGTGCCCAAACTGAGTAAGGAGATTTTAAGTATGACACCCCAGATACTGCTGAAGCGTTCTCTTACAGCACCTCCCTAGGGGGCGCTCACGCACGCATGCGCATGTGTAAAGAGCAAGGGGCTGTTTACTGCCGGTGTGGGGCTATTAGACTTAATTACAGCAAATTCGTAGGAGGAAACGCTGAGTAAATTAGGTAGGAAAAGTGATTCTAAACGAGAGGCTGTCAATCCCAGCTACAATCACAATTGCCTAAGGCTTTGAAACATTCGAATTCTAGGCCCCACACCGAGAGACTCAGATTTAATTGAGGAAAGGTAATGAGAAATTTTCAACCCTCTGAGTACTAACAGGAAGTCAGAACTGAAGGCAATGAATGAGCCTAGAAATTCTCCAAGTGCAGAGTTGCAGACGAACATACAACAGTGGTAGGGACCGTGTGTGGAGTAGTGCACTTCATGTGTTCCTATGTTCATGCATGTACGTATGTGCATGCTGGAACAAGAGGACAGGAGCCGAGTCCCCTCCCTCACTCTGGCCTGGAGGCTGTGTGTGAGAAGAGACAAGTTCCTGTCACCAGGCCTTCCATACATCTGGGCAGACAGAAACCCTAACATGGAGGGACCATTCTAGATAAGCCAGTGGGTCTGGACCAGGACCAGGAATCCTCCAGAGCAGGTGGGCCTGCAGGTGAATCCACCCCATGGAGACCCGGCAGTCCCGGGTTGCCTCTGTCCTCCAATAGCAGATCCCAGTGGCTGCAAAGGAGACACAGGGCCCATTCCATGGGAAATACTTTCTTGCCTTTTGCAGAAAAAAACATCTGCCAGGACTGCAGTAGAGGGTCCACTCATCACAGCAGCAGCAACTGGGTAAGGGTGTTCTCTGACACTGCTCACTTCCCAATAACACTCCCATCAAAACAAAAACATAACAAAAATTCCTCACCAGCTGAGGTAAAGCGTCCCGGTACTTGTTATTTAACTGTTTCACGAAGCACCGGGTGATCCAGTAACAGTCCACACTGTCTTCCACCATCTCTTCCATGGCTTTAGCAATGGCAAGAAAGACTTCATCCTCCGGCTCCTGAAAGATTAATAATAAATCTCAAGAGGGAGGCAGCAGAAAGGAAGATATATTTCTTTACTGAAAACCTAATACTGCCCTCTGCTCTTGAAGAGCCCACATTAATAAATCAAAGAGGGATCTGGAGGCAGAGTGTGTCAGTGAGGAGAAGCATGGGAAAGGAATGATGGGAGTCAGCAGAGCTGAACAACAGCTGGCTTCTGAGTGGAGTCAGCTTGGCAAGCGCAGGCCAGGCAGGGTCTCTCTCCACCCAGCCAGTCCCCAGCTAGACCAGGGTTCCTTCAGAGGGATGTGAGACACAAGCCACTTTGGAATGTGTCAGGACATAACTTATGATGAATACTAAGGGACTCCAAATGAGCTCACGAAACATCTGATTTATGTCAAAACTTCCACACACACACCTTTAGAACGCTGTTCTACTTAAAAGTTTAAACACCCTAAAACCAGAATTTTAGGAAGCCAAAGAATGACATTTCTCAGATATTCAAAAATGAAAGTAAATCTTCAAGAAATTTTCAACAGATAAATCTTATAAAAACTGAAACCCTATGTGGAAAGTTATTCTGTTTTCAAATATTGCCATCAACACCAAAACCAAACAAATCAAAACAACTTACATTTTCACCTAGGCTTTCATAGTTTGAAACTTTTTTTTAAAAGTTTCTCTCCAGCCATCTCTCCAGCCCTCTTAATGTCTTTTTAATCTTAAAAGTTTCAAACTGGGGTGCTCAGCAGTTAAGAGCACTGACTGCTCTTCCAGAGGTCATGAGTTCGATTCCCAGCAACCACATGGTGGCTCACAACCATCTGTAATGGGATCTGATGCCCTCTTCTGGTGTGTCTGAAGACAGCCACAGTGTACTCATATATATGAACATTAAGAAATACCTTTCTATGCCCCTGAGAAGCTCCAAGTTAGATGACAACTCCTGTTTTAATAAAAGACACTTCAGTCTGAGGTTGTCTTTCAGCTTTCTAATATCCACAGGATGTAAGAATCGTAAGAAATGTATTTCTCTAAACATCTTATTACAGTATTGGAGGATACAAAGGGAGTAAGAAAGAGAGGAACAGTTCCTCTCTAGGGATTCCACACAGGCCTAGGCCTGGTCTGGGTGACCCTGCCGGTGATATGTCACTGGCTGCTCCTGGTCACTGCGACCAGGTGAGGAAGACCAGCATGCTTCGCCCAGCTGTGTCCAAGCTGGGCCCTCACAAGCTCTTACTACCTCATAATAGCACAGGAGGGGCTGTGTGTGTAGGGAGAGGTAGAGAGACAAAACCCCACTCCCACGTTCAAACAGCAAGTACACCTGAGGCTGCACGGAAGGTGTCTGGGTCAGAGCACGGAGCAGTGAGTAGGGATGAGATGGAAGCCATGCCTGTAGTTTAGACTTACATTTCTTACACTAACAGAATAGCTAACCTTATTCAATAAGTAATTCAAGAACTCAGAGCCCTTCTCGCCTGTAGTCTCAGCTGTTCAAGAGGCTAAGGTAGGAGGACTGCAACTGGGCCACTGAGCAAAAGGTAAAATAAAGGACGCAGGGCGTGGAGATGTGGCTTGGTGGTACAGCACTTGCTTAGCACTCAAGAAGCCACAGACTCAGTCCCTGAACCACAGAGCTCATGTGGTGCTACCAGTGTCTCCGTGCTGCCCCTGAGTGACAGGAAAATGAGACCGTCCTAAGCACCACTTAACACCTGCGGCTCTTCTCCCTCTTCATGAATGTAATGGTAAGAGTGATGGCCTTCATCAGTGCTAATTTGTCACTCTATCATTAACTCCTACATCTGTAATTGGATATAGATATACTAAGTCATATGTAAAGTAAGTCAATTTTTGAGGTGAGATGTCACTATATAGTTGCTCTCAAACTCAAGCCCTGAGTCCTGGGGATTAGAGGTGGGTGAGGTCACGCCTGGCTCAAAGACCAGGCTCAGGAAAAACAAATTTTGTAGATAACCAAAGATTGCATGCAAACCCTTGCTTGAAAAATTCATTCTGTTTTCACCAGATAAATAAAACCTTCATTAAAATATGTAGACAACTGCAATAAAGTAGCCAGGCGTGGCTGGCAACATTAGAGCATACAGGAAAACAAGCCAGAAGCAAATACCTTAGCATAATGGGAACTTTTTAATATCTGCAGCTGTCACAGGGAAGGCTAAAATGAACTTGTAACATGGGGTTGGAATTGAATTTATTATAATACATAGAGATACACAAAAAACGTAAAGGCTGGGGTACAGCTCAGCAGCCGGGCACTTGTCTGGCGTGTGTGCTCTGGGTTCAGGCCCAGCAGCACAACATCTATATCTATATTTTGTGTGTGTGCATGTACATGCGTGTGTGCGTGCATGCATGCGTGCGTGTATGTGTGTGTGTGTGTAAAGAGAGAATGAGAAATTGGCATTTATGAATATATAATATATATATATATGCCATATATATTATACATTTTATATATATATAAAATCTCAGGGGCTCCTACTGACTGAAGCTGGAGTATTTTGAACATCAATAGAAAAAAATGGCAGGAAAAGATTATAGGCCATTACCTTAAAAAGGGCCCCATACATCCACATTGGCATCAATAAATAAATGCTAAGGAAACTCTTACAGTTGTCAAATAACAGACACAAGGAGACTTCAGAAATTAGAGAATCACCATTTGTCAGTCAGAACAGTAACAATATTTTAGGAAAGAAGAATTTTAAGTCCAAAAATTCCATGTGGGTAGCACACACCTTTAATCCCAGCACAGGAGGCAAAGGCAGATGGAGCTGTCTGAGTTCAAGACCAACCTGGTCTATGTCACAAGTTCCGGGCCAGCCAGGGTTACACAATGAGACTTTGTCTTAAAAATGTATGATACATATTTGTAATTTATATATTACATATTTATATGTAATAAATAATTTATAAATAATAAATGCGTAAGTATATAAATATAAACATATCTTTATATATTTATATGTTTTATATTTATATATGTATATATATTATTTATATTTAAATGTATATGTATATTTATATATAAATTAAATATATTGCATGTAAATTATATATGATATATAATTTTATTTTTCACATATATTTATATACATATACATTTATATATATGAGAAAAGCCTCAGAGTTCTTTTCCATGAGTTACTCATTAATTACAAAGCATATGCTTACAGGGGAAGAACCTGGCAAACAGCTCCTGCACCAAGTGATCCATTACTAGTGCTTGTCTGCTATCCTAGCCAACAATGCAAAACCAGGCTCTAGTTATCAGTAAACACCAGACAAATGGAGAAATCCCTAAGAGACTCAAAACTGTCAAGGTCACAGGAGAGCAAGGAAGCCTGAAGACTAGTAGTCCAGGACCAAGAATGACAACTAAGTGCAGTGTTGATCCAGGACTGGACCTGGGGTCAGAGAAGCATGGACCTGGGGTCAGAGAAGCATCCAGGGACGAGCAATGGGATCTCCGAAAGGTGCTGAGCCTAGCTCCTAGCCCCGTGTCAACGCTGATGTGTGAGCTCTGTCATCACACTGTGGTTATGGGAGACCCAGCATGTGAGGACAGATGAAGGTGTATGGGGTGGTGTACTATTATATAACTTCTTTATGTCCAAAATTACTTAAAGATGCAAGATTAATACTTATAAAAAATTTTAAGTCAATGATTGGTCAAATGTATGAGCCAAACACTAATAAGGAAGAGGATAATTACATAGTGGTTCAAAGTGTCTCCCTCACTTAAAAATAGTGATTACAAGGGGAGAAAGAATAACTTCCCAGTAGAGACCCAGCAGGCAGTACTTTACCAGAGGATCAAAGTTAATGGATGTCTTCTGAGGCAGAGCCACACTGAGTCTCCTGACAGTACAAAGGGAACATCACCCATGCTATCCCTGCCAAAGACACAGCCGGTATCACACCAAGAGGGAGCACCAGCCAGCCATGAAGTGAGTGAGGGGCTGTCTAAAATTACTGACCAACACCTGTCAAAATTGTCCAAGGCATGGAAGAGAAAGACAAAGGACCCAGCCCAAATCACAGGCGTCCACAGCAACATGGTAACTCAGTGTGATCCACAGTCCAAAAAAGTCTTCAGTCAGCCTTTTTATTTGTGATGAATGGCATCCCCAGAAACACTGGGCACGTAAGGAAGAAGCCTGTAGGTGAGACTGAGTACTGCCACTGTGCTAACTTCAGAACTGTGTCATGCTCGCCTACAAAGGTGCCTTGTCTCCACAAAGAGCACACAGAGGGAGCCGGAGGAACAGCATCACGACTGCATCCTGCTCTCTTCTGGCTTATACAAACAAGTATCTGTGCACAGCCAGAAATGAGGCACATGCCTATGACCCCAGCACTCTGGAGGCAGAGGCAGGAGGATACCGAGTTGGAAGCTAGCCTGTACTACATACATAGGGAAACTTCCGCTCAAAGGGAAAAGGAACTGGAGTTGGAGAGACGGCACTGGCTGCTCTTTCAGGAGACGAAGGTTTAGGTTGGTTCCCAGCACCCACATGGTAGCTCACGACCATGTGTAACTCCAGTTACAGGAAAGCAGATGGCATGTTAAGCAGTGCACAGACAAACATGTAGGCAAAACACCCATATACCTACAATTTAAAAAAAAATTTAAACAGAGGGAGAGAGAGAAGAAGAGTGCATACATAGGGGGGAATGGCAAGGCAGATGTCATTAAATGTTAACAGCTGGAAATTTCAGTAAAAAGACACGGAAATTCTTGGATAGTATTTCTGTGCCCTTTCTTCACGTTTGAGATTATAGCCATGCATCACTATTATATATATTATGTGTATTATTTATTGTAAGTGGGAGTCAGCCAGGGACCTAACAGAAGCTAGTGATTCTCTAGGATGAACGTGTGTAGTAATGTCACAGTTATCTGCATTGAGCAAACACAAATACCTGATGTTAGCGGGTGAACAAATGTCTAGCGCCATGTTTCTCAGAACACATGTCCAGCACTAAGAAACGTGGACTTTGCCAAAAACAAAACGTGCTTTAAAATAACACTGATCGAGCGTGAGCAGGAATCCTCGTAAAGCTGCTGCTTTCCCTTTTCATCCTGCCAGTAATGGGAAACCACTGAAAGTTTCTACGCAAAACATCACAAAATGGAAGCCAGGAGCTGGAGATGGCTCAGAGGTTAACGACACTGACTGTTAACTAGAGGTTCTGAGTTCAATTCCCAGCAACCACATGGTAGCTCACAAGCATCTGTACTGGGATCTGATGCCCTCTTTTGGTGTGTCTGAAGAGAGTAACAGTGTACTCACATATATAGACATAAATAAATAGATCTGTTAAAATAATTAGCAATAATTCATTCATAGATAACACTTTACTAAGATCTGGGGGAGGAGGAATGGGATAAGGAACTGTGGGAGGGCAGACCAGGAGGAGGCCAATGACTGGACTGTAAAAAAACTAAAGTAGTAGTAGTAATAGTAGTAGTAATAATAATAATAATAATAATAATAATAATGGAAGCCAGAAAAATAAAGTCTTAGTGGCATGGCTCAGTGGTAGAATGCTTGCCTAGCATTCATAAGGACCTAGGTTTGATCTACAACTCTGCAAACTCATTAATAGACAAAACAAAAAGTAACTCTTAGAAAAGGGGTGGAGTTGAATGTCAAGTGAGAACGAGCACTCACCAGAGGAAAAGCGGGACTTCGAGGCAGCTTCCCCGACTCAAGCTGATACATGCGAAGATACACCTCCACCTGCGGCGTGGCGTCACTGATGAATCGGACGACTGTCAGGGCATGGAGGACGTCACAGTACTGGTCTTTTCGATAGGCCATCACCTGGGCATGAGAGTCATGGTGTGGAGGCAAGATGCCTACGGGAGATGGGACAGGAAAGGGGCAAATGCTGAGATACCCGATCAAATCCCTCCGCTAGTGAAAAGAATCCCGTGAGGAGCAGCCCCACAGCTGAGGTCATACAAATAGTCTCACTCCAACAATCTTTAATGTTAAGAGTTTTGCAAGATGGTGCATCACTGATGTTAGAGAGAAACGGGATGGCACCACAAAAGCCTTTGAACAAACGCGTGTCATAGTTTCAAGGCAATAACCACACCAGCTGTAATGATGGTTTAACTCGGTGCCTGGCTAGCAGCTGAGGGCACCGTTAGCTCCTGGGGCCCTTAGCCTCCTACATCTCAGAACAGTATGTTGAGTCCTTCTCCTCCGTTTATCCACACTAGTTAAAGCTTATCTACAGAACAGTCTGTCACTGGGCGAAAGTCCATGGTCCTCATCAATAAGGCCAGTGTACATTGTATTTCTGTGACACTTTGTGGTTGTTACTTAACTATGCTGCCTGCCCATTAGGCTTTAGCATAAAACTCTCTCTCTCTCTCTCTCTCTCTCTCTCTCTCTCTCTCTCTCTCTCTGTGTGTGTGTGTGTGTGTGTGTGTGTGTGTGTGTGTGCACGCATGGAAGTGTGAAGAGGAGACCCTGTGGAGTTGGTTCTCTCCTTCCACCTTTACCTGAGTGTCTAGGATGTGAACTCAGGTTACCACACTGTGCAGTGAGCACTTTCACTGAGGGCCTCATCTTACGACCTCCCTGTGTGTTTATAAATAAATGGTATCACGTAAACCCCAGGCAGACGAAGACCGGCTCCATCTCGGATCAGCTAACACCAGGGCTCTCACCAGTGTTTCAGTCTATCGCAATGTGGCCATCTGTGCCCTCACGTAGCAGAAGCAGGAAACAGCAGACCAGCCCAACACCAAATGTTCCCCAAAGAATCAGAGCCCCAGGCAATAGGAAACTGATTATAGAATGGTAACAATGCATTGTTAAGGCTCAGTTTTGATATAACAAATGTTTCACTTTATTTATTTATTCTTGCCCCATTAATGTAATGAGACAGTGCAGAGTCAGAGAGCCTGGGGTCAAGACTCTTGGGTTTGAGGTTCGCTAACTTGAACATCCTCAGCAATTCCTTCTGTTTCCTGGGCCTCATCTTCTCTCTTCTGAAAATTAGAGATAATAATGTCTAAATCCACAAGTTGTTGTGATGAGGCAAATTCATAAAGCATTCAATAGAGTGCTCTGGCACATGTATGTCAGGCACAGGTGCGTCCAGCACATGTGTGTCAGGCACAGGTGTCAGGCAGTTCATTTGACTGTGATTCCCCTTTGACGCAAAAATCCCACAGGCCAATTATTCTAAAGAACGTTCTGGGAAGCAGCAGTTAGACAAGCTCAACACTTTCCACGCATAAAACATGCTTAAGTGTCCTTTCCTGACATAAACTCAGTGTGTCTGAGGGGTTGCGCACCAGGTTCTCAGAGCAGTCAAGGGAACACACGTAAATGTCGTCCACATCTGGGCTGCTGCAGACTGAAGAGCTATAGTTGAACCTACCAGAGGCAGCAGAGTGTCAGGCATGAGACCTGTGTCTAAGAGTTCATCCCAAAAGCTCTCTCTGGCATTTACCTAACATGGTACAAGAGAGGCGGCATCCATAGAGCCCAGAGCAACCAAACCAGGACCACAAAGAGCCCTTTATCCTGTGAGAGCTCTGTGTTTCCAGTGTCTCTGACTGTGGCAGAAAAACAACACTGGTTTAGGTGATAAAGAAGTTAAGAAAAACTGAGATAAAAGAAAAACCACCACCACAACAACAAATGAAACAGTTGGGCCTTGGCACTCAGGATGTGTCACATGCACAACAGAACATCTCCCATTAATAAGACATACAGGGTATCCCGTAAGAAATGAACACTGGTGATAATTGCCTAAAATGTACCCTTAGAACCCTCCGATGCCCAGTGCACAGAGGTAATCCATATCCCTCATAAAGCTCCATCCTCACCCCGACTCAGTGAGTAAACCCCAGCTGCTTAAGAAAGAAACGGAGGATGATAATGAACAGGGATTAGATGCTCCAGCAGGCTTAGCAATGATGGGGAAGATCCAGGGCTCAAAGGGACGCTGCCAGCTGCTTGTGGCAGACGCCGAGTCAGCTCGCCTTCCTTGGCAACCCAGTTCTGAAGTCGTCTCACATTTGTAGGCAGAAAAAGACTCTGATTCCATTTTTTGTTCATTTGTTTTTGTTTTGCTTGTTTTGAAATCTGTCATATCATTTTTTTATTTCAAAGGATAAAGGGGCATTTATGTACCTCCCTTAGCATCAGAACACTATCCTCTACCACCGAGAGTCACAGAATACAATGCACTAAAGACTAAAACCTAAAAGTAATTTAGCTCAAGCTATCTCTGGACAGATGGAAAACTGGAGGTCAGCATGGTCTTCCTCCTGGCTAGCCTGCTGACAGCAAAGACAGCCAGTTCTCTTTTCTCCCACCCCAATGTTCACGCCTGATGACGTGACCACCTAAAGCACACACCTGTATAGAACTAATTTTGAAGGCTACAAAATCTTCATATAAGATTTGAGACAGAAAAATGTTACGGGAAAAACTAAAATAGCTGTCAGTGCTTTTGAAGATGGTGACCACAGGGATGCACCAGATACCTGAGTGTACAAAGGCTTTACTTCAGGAACAAATATTACCTTCTCTACTGCCACTAATAAGCAGAGACTCCAAGAGTAATCGTTAATATATTTCTGCTGAAGTCATGATCCAAAAAGCTTTTACAGTGAGCAGTAATTGGGCCTCCTGGGGAAGACCCAATAGTCAGCAAAGAACCTAAGCAAATGCTCCTTCTGTGTCTGTAAGATGACAAAGGATCTCATTCAATACATTAGAAATCAAATCCCCCCCCCCGCCCCTGACTCCTGGGTCTCATACCTAGAAGCACCTTCCATACCAATGCACGGTACATGGATGGGAGAGGGAACCTCTGGCTAAATGTGCAAAGCTTCTCGATGTCTAGAGGAAGGAAAAGAACAATTAGAAATATCCCGTGGGCTCACAGCACCTGAAAGTACAATTTCACTTCTTAAAACTGTCTAGCTCAGACGTGCCTGCAGGAGAAATCCATCACATAATCAGCAGCAAACTTAGGCAAAGCCGTAGAATTAGCCACTTCTAATCTACATCTTCTACCAACTAAGCTATCTAAACCAGCACTTTTGTAGCACAGAGATGTATTTTGCATCTATTACTACATCTCCTCTAACATTAGCATTACTTACTGAATACAGAATTGCGTGGGGACACAGGGCAGCTCAGTGGTAGAGCATGCCTTAGCATATGCTAGGCCCTGGGTTCCATTCCCAGCTCTTCCAACAAGACGCACTTAAGTTTGTTGTAAAAACTGGTCTTTATTATTGCTGGCTTAAGATAAATTAAATATGAATGTGTACTGAAGGATTAGCTTCCACAAAAGAAAATCATAACCAGGGTTCTTGCAAAGTTTACCCAGAAACCAAGGTGCTATGTCTAGAAACAGAGGGGATAGATAAGCTTAATTAAAAAATAGAATTGATTTCTTTTTAAAGGTGAAGGTGTCTTACTATTTATCCCCTGGCTATCTTAGAACTCTCCATGTGGTCCAGACTGCCCTTAGACTCAGATCCCCCGCCTCTGCCTCCAGACTATCAGGATCAATGTTTTGCACCACTACACTAAGCAGTGTCCAGGTTTTAAGAAGCTTAACAAAATCTTCTGCCTCTCAATGAATTTGAAAAGTTTTCAACTTTTCTCAAACTACACCACTCTGATACTCTGATTACACACACACACACACACACACACACACACACACACACACACACATACACACAAAGTACTGCTTTGAATCCCTTATGGTAAGAGTTACCTGGTAACTTCAAACCAATGAACTTAAGCAGGTGAGACTCACCCAAACGGTCATCTTTCAGGAGGATTTCCAGTGATTTCTTTTCTTCAACTCCACGAAACCCAACTTTTTCATAGTAGACTGAACGAAAGTTCCTCTGAGAGTCGTCAGTCATGTTTCATCCTTGGAGGGATTTTTTTTTTAAATGAGCCTAAAACCAAAGAAATAAGAATTGGGAAGACATTAAGTGGTTTTTCTCTGACTTCAATAAATCAAATATGATAAATTACCTGTCCCTAAGCAAGGAGCATTAAATCTTTGAATTCACACAACCCTATTCCACCTTCCTTATGCATCTTGGTCAAAGATATAGATATGAAGATATAGGTCAGCTGTCCTCCGAGCCTCTAGGGTTCATTCTTATGAGAAGCCGTAGCACAATGAAATACCTTGTATTCGTGAGTGAACAAAATAGATGGATTAGAAAAGCTGGCAGGTTATGTTATATAAATGGGGCTAACCAGCGGTGTATACTAATTCTGCTTCCAGCTTTACTACCAAGGTCTCACCAAGTAGCCCAGGCTGGCCTCAAACTCAGAGATCTTCACCTCTGCCTCCTAGGTGCTGGGATAAAAGATGTGGACCATGGCTCCTGATCCAAGATAGGTATGTTTTTAAAGTAAGAGGAGACATCCAAAATATTAACAAGTTATTCAGTTAGTAAGATTCTAGATGACTTTAATTTTCTTTTGTTTTACTTAGCTGTGCTCTCGAAAATGGGCATTTGTAGAAATTAGAAGGAAAAAAAATACTTAAGTCCTGCCCTTATTTTTCTTCCTGTAAACACAATTCTGCCAAATGTAATTATCAAAATACAAAACTCCAACACAGAAACAGCATTAACGTATAACCAGAAGACGGTTAAAATCTGGCAAGAGCACTCAAATCATCTCAGAGGCAGTCTTTGTGATATTAATGGTAAGCCAAAAGATCAAACTAGGTTAGTGAGTCAGGCACTAAAGATGAAAACATTCTTCCAAAGAATAAAGTCCTCAGCTAATAAAAGCCCCTGACACGTCCCCAGATAACCAGGGGAGGTTGGATTTCCTGTTGGGAGTTAGATATCTGAACATTTTCGGTTATGGAAAAGATTATAATTCATTTTTATAAAAAGCTATTTAGAATTTAGAATTGTCTTTCAAAAGTTCCACGGTCTCTTTAAAGCTGTCTTTAGAAACCCAAACATTAAAATGCAAAGTCTGTAGTTTCGAGGATTTTTTGTTTTTTGTATTTTTAAGCATTCGCTGCCCCTGCTGTCTGAGGACAGCATTCCTGAGACTGCACAGTGATGGCAAAAGCGGCGCCCTGAAAGGCGCGCTGTCAAATCCTGCTCAGGTGATTCCACCTGCGGGAACGGTGCCCGCAACCGGTGAAGTCCCAGGCCCCGCTCTCCCGGCTATCCACGCTTCACCTCTAGTAGAGCAAACCCGGTTCAGACTAAAAGATCCGGGAGGCAGCGGAGAGCAGGCCGGGAACGCTGGGCTACCGGCAGGCAGGCGGAACCATAAACGTCATGCCCGAGCGAGCGAGGGGAGCTGTGTCGCTGGACACTCGACCTGCCCCTCTTCTCCGCCAACTCCCGGCGCCGGATGTGACGTCGCATCGGATGTGCGTGCGCAGAAGGCATCTGCGGGAAGCCCCACCCACACGCGGATATTGAAGCGGTAAAGCTAGAGGAGTTGAACGGTAGTAGTGGGCTGAGGGTCCGTGCGTCCTTGTGTATTGACGTCTGCCCCTCTCACCTTGGTCTCCCCTCCGTTCAGGCATCCCTGCTTAGGGCACTCTTTTCCGGCCGCCATAATCCTGCCCAGTGGAAACCAGGATCCCTCAGGCAGTGTTTCTCCCACTTCGCTGGGTAGAAAATCGAAAATTAGCCTTTACCTATTGATTGGGCTGCACTGCTTCTCCCAAACGTCCAAAGTGACCATGAGGAAACAAATCAGTAAGCCCTCAGCTATTGAAAACTGAGTGATGGGCAGGAGACTTGGCTCGGCAGCTAAAAGCACTTACTGCTTTTGTACAGAACCTGGGTTCAAGTCCCATCACTCACGTGGACTCACAACCATCAATAAGTCCAGTTCCAGGAAATCCAAAATCCCCCTTCTGATTTCTGCCAGTACTAGGCACGAGCATGGTGCACATGCACGCAGACAAAACATGTATACACAAATATTTAAAAATTAAAAACAGTAGTCCCCCGATGACCAAGGAAAGATAAAAACCATTTGTTCATGGTTTACTATGCTCAAGGGGCAGTTACTCCGTCAGACCTAGTAGAATGTCAAGTGTGCAGCCAGTTGAGGCTGCTGCTTGCTTGGAGAAGCTGTGAGCCACTGGACAGGACTGGGGCATCCTGTTTGATCTGTCATGGAGAGCATCTTCTTTGGCCATCCTCAGGTGGCACCGAATTGGAAGCAAGGACTAAGTTAGGGAACTATTAGGAAGATCCAGCTGTTTGGGACAGACTACTGATTTGCTTCTTGGATTGTTTAGTCACAATCTGGCTTCCTAGAATTTTTTTTTTTTTCAAAAAGGAGCTATTTGTCTGTGCAAGTTATGAGTCACATTCTATCTTATGTATGGCCAAGCCATTGTCTTTGTGGGTCAACGTCTCAGTTAAAATATAAAACTGAGAGCTGAAGAAATGGTTAAGAGCACTGGTTACTCTTCCAGAATCTGTGGGTTCAATTCTAAGAACCTAGTTACAGAGGATGGGATGCCCTCTTTAGCTTCCTTGAACACCAGGTACAAATGTGGTATACAAACTCACAGGCAAGCACAACACCCATACAAATAAAAAAATATTTTAACGTAAATATGTATATAAGAAGAAAATGAAGTTAATAATACACTGACTACAAATTTGAGCTCATCACTGGATTTAACAGCTAGAGTATTCTTTAAGCATTAAAATCAATACTTACTGTTTATTTCACAGGTCTGTGGTCTCAGGAGTTTAGCAATGTCTTCCAGAGAAAAGATGTTTCAGGGATGTGCCCTGGCTCCTTAACAGACTGCCAGACTCATGTCTTGATGATATTTTATTATAATAACTTTAGTTGATCCTCAAAAAAAGTACTTTTTATTCTGGTTAAATTCTACAAAATGTATTTGGGTCACACAGCTATGCCATTCCCAATCTTGCCTACTACCGCCATCCTGACTTCCTCCACTTACTCTTTCTTAAGCAGTCCTTTGGGGCGGCTACTCAAGCTGTATTTACTTCATCTAAACCTAGGGCAAGCCATAACTTAGGCAGACTCCTTCTTCTTACCTCTGACATAGAGCTCTTAGTGACGCAGCCACCATAAAGTGTTGGAAGGATTGGTGAGAGATTCGGCCCAAGGGGACATATGTGGCGGCAGCAAAGGGAGGGCCTCTAACTGCCTATCACCGTCATCTGTGATAAGCTGGTGACCCGGGCATTATTTCCTTTGTCCCAGACAATTTCAGAAACCCACAATCTGTCTCCTTACTCAGACCTGCCCTGAGGTGCTTCCTAAACCTGCTACCGTCATCCGAGTCTCTGCCCTCCTGTATCCAGGTCTGATTTTCTTCCACGGCTCTCATTGTCCTCTGATACCGTTTAATTTATTAGGCTGTCTCCTCCCACCAGAACAACAGCCCCACAAGGTCAGAAACGTGTGTTTTTCTAATGAAAGCATCCTGTGAACAGGGCCTGGCACACTGTGTTTTCTGTGGATGCTTAGTGACCGAAAGGGATCCCACACAATGCATGGGAGTTCAGTCTTTATTAAAGTCGTATATTTGGGCCATGAGCTGTTAAAAGTCATGGCTAGTTGTCTCACTCCTATTACAACACAGGCTTAAGCAGTCCTTTAGAGACGGCTTACTCGAGCTCTATTTACTCAGCTAAACCCATGTTTATGGTTTAGGTGACATCAGGAATTGGTAGAGTGGTGAGCATCATGAAAGGGACAAGTTACCTTTAATGCTGTGACAAAGCAGACCGACAATACGTTTTGTAGAATTTAACTGGAATAAAAAATACACTTCATCGTGATGGTTAGCATTGTCAACTCGACAGCATCTAGATCACCTAGGAAACTAACCCCTGCCCTGTCTGTAAGGACGTCTGCATTAGGTTAATTGAGGCAGGGAGACTTATCCTAACTCTACGTGACCCATTCTGTGGGCCAGTGTTCCATATTGACAGAGTGTTTTAAATGGGAAATGCCCCTCCCCACTTGGTATCTTTGAAGTAGTAGATCCCCAACTAATGCTGCTTGCTGTTTGTGGATCCAGTGTGACCAGCAGCTTCTCCTGCCACCATGCTTGTCCTAACACGATGGGGTCTGTCTTCACTCAAATTTTAAGCCAAAGCAAGCCCTTCCTCCCGAGGTCTTGTCAGGTATTTTTATCACAGTAACAAGACGGGGAGCTAACACAGCTGCAGTGAGGCGCTGTCTCCCTGAGTGGTTGGGAGAGTACTGCAGAGAGAACAGTAACTGGGCTGCATAGTAAAGAATTTTCACTGCTGTGCCGGGTAGTCTTATGTTAACTTGACACAGGCTAGACTTATCTGAAAGGAAGGAGCTTCAAATGAGAAGGCACCTCCATAAGATTCAGCCGTAATTGCATTTTCTTAGTGATTGATGAGGAAGGGTCCAGCCCCTTGTGGGGAGTGTTATGCCTGCTCTGGTGATCCTGGGTTCCATAAGAAAGCAGGCTGAGCAAGTCATGGGGAGCAAGGCTGTAAGCAGCACCCCTTCATGGCCTTTGCACCAGCTCCTGCCTCTAGGTTCCTGCCCTATTTGAGATACAGTCCTGACTTCCTTCAGCAATGAACAGGGCTGTTGAAGTGTAAGCCAAATAAATCGTTTTGTTCCCAACTTGCTTTTTGATCATGGTGTTTCATCGAAGCAATAGAAACCCTAAGTAAGATAGCACGCAAAAGGGCTTGGGTTCAAGCCACGGTGCCACCTTTATAAAGTATTAAATCATAAAGGCAGGAAATGACAACCTACACATGTGTGTATGAAATGGAAGTCATAGCATATTTGAGACTCCACTCCAGTCTGGGCATGTCATGGGGCACAAACAAAAGGAGAAAGTGAAAAAGCAGGTTTGAGAATGGACCATTACATTCCGTTGTGGGGAGGCTGGGCTCTATGTGATAGCATTAGCAAGCAGCACCCAGAAGCAGCTGCAGATTGTACGCCCACGTCAAAGTGAAGGGTAGAGGTGTGTGGGTGCCTCGAACGTGAATTCTAGGACACTTAATCAAATCATAAGCAGAGTGCACATCAGGGATCTCCCCCACAAACGTGGGATTTTACCAGCCTGGCAGCCCCTGGAATTCAGCTTCCTGTAATTCTCAATAGAAACAGCAGAGGGCAGCAACAGCAGGGAGTTCAGATAGGCAGCACATTGTCACATAAAGGGAAAAACCAGACTGCCAAGACATTGTTTGTCTCCACCAACAAGCAATGGATGTTTCCAGATGCTGAGGAGAAGACCAGATTTATGTGCCCTGTAGGCCACAGGTCCATCTTCACCTTGCAGGTAGAAGTTTCTGAACAAAGCAAAAAGGACTTCCATTCACCAAGCAAAAAGGACACATAATGTTCCCCACAGGCTCACGTGTTTGGATGTTTACCCCACAGTTGGTAGTATGGTCTAGGGGAGGTTTCAGACCTGGAAAGGTGGAGCCTTTTGTGCAGAGGGGATTTTTGAGATTGGAAGTAGGGTAGAGACAGGTGTTTGATCTTTTGAACTGAAATACTGTAAGATACTATTCGTGTTGGTTAACTGAAGTACATTCTGAGGAATGATTCAATAGGCATTTTGAAGTTGGGAAAATATAGAGCATACTAAACAAAATAAGATAATTAAGATGTAACTGGCCCACATAATCTGTTTTTCTAAGCATCTTATTCTGTAGACAAGACTGACCTCAAACTTGTGATTGTCCCATCTCAGCCTTCTGAGTGCCAGGACTATGAGCGTGCACCACCACACATATAATCTTACAGGACCATTGTCATGTATGCTGTCCATTATGAGCCTATCATGTGGTACAAGGCTGTACTTACTGCTGACGACCCAGATGAGTGGGATTTAAAGAGTGGTCCGTGAACCAGTCTGTGGGGCAAGCATGGCCTTTTGGAGCAGACATGGAGGCCCTTTATAGCAGTTTGACAATTATTTGAAGTCTATTGACATATAGTAACCAAAATTGGGAGTTTATGTTTTGTGTGTCTCTTTATTATTTCAGTTTTCTAGTTAGGTAATGGCTCATCATTGGTCACAGGATCAGACAAAAAGCCCTGTTGTAGAGAGTGTATAGTGAAATAAAAATTCATAGAAGATACACACATGCAGATATACATACATATATATGTATATATAGCATATATACATATATAATACTATATATTATATTGCACATATATTGCACTGCTTGCAAATGTATAATATATAACATACATATATAATAACATATATACACATACATATATATTTATAAATAATGCTTCTTTCATGAAAAAATTAAACCCATCACTATTGGTTGGTTGAGGGCAGTGGTGGCTCATGCCTTTAATCCCAGCACCTGGTAGGCAGAGGCAAACTGATCT